CTACTACTACTACTACTACTACTACTACTACTACTACTACTACTACTCCTACTCCTACTCCTACTCCTACTGCTACTCCTACTCCTACTGCTACTGCTACTGCTACTGCTACTACTACTACTACTCCTACTACTACTACTACTACTACTACTACTAGTACTACTACTACTACTACTACTACTACTATTAGTTCGTTCTATACAAACAAAAGTTAGGACCTCAAAAAAGATCTGGTGACATGTCGTGCCCTCTCTATAGAATGAAATGTCGCCACCCACTTTGCGAGAACAAACTGACTTTTTTGGAGCCCATGTTTAAAATGTTGTCTTTTTCAGGTAGGTTGATATTTCATTCTTTAAGAAAAGTGTCTACAAAATCTGAGGGTCATTTTGAGGTCGAGATCTCAGATTTTACAAAGTTTTTTCGGTAGGGGATATCGTATGACTATGAGTGGCCTTGTTGGGGCAGTCCTCTGTCATCCTTTAGAACGCGCTTGCTGGAGACTCCAACACACAAGTGCCATGTAGGTCCAAAGAAAACCCTTGTGATCCAAAGGGCCTTGCGGCTCTCGGCGCTCGCAGCTGCCCAAGCCAGAAGCTTCCAGGTAATCATCCAGGTAGTGTAGCCACTCAGAAGCCTTTTGATCGCGTTCGGCACTGGAGGGAAATCAGGAAGCTGGTCAGCACATGTCAGCGCCTTCTGGTCATTCTACACTATCTACTACACTCCCGCAACCATGAGGTGATTGATCCATAGACTGAGACTAGTCAGTTCAAAGTCCGATTGAGTGCACTGGATCGAGAAGTGTACCAAGTTTGTTTGTCGCGACCCGTTTTTCAATCATTAACTAATCATCAGAGATCGAGAAAAGGCTTTTGCTGGCTGCCCACACTGTGGGTTATGAGCCCAATGCCATAAAGTCCACCACCTTTTGGTGTGCTGGTCCCCATGTCATCCGCTACGCCAAAAGAAGGCTCGAAAGGAGAGCGCCAAGATCGCCAAGGAAGAGGAACAGCTACCCATCACGGACAAGGATGAGCTTGGAGGTGATGGCCGCAACCGGTGAGCTATGGGCATCAAAGACGGGAAGATGCTCGAAGAAAGACGGAAAAGGTCAAGAACCGGGGATTCCACTGTGGCGAAGGATGAAGCTATGCTATGCTGAGAGCTCTGAGGTTGTCTATCTTGTCAATGACATCGGCACCTTTTGAAGTGGAACTCTGGAGAGTGAGGAGGTCGCTGTCAAAATCAGGGACGTGATGAGGGCGGTGATGAGTCCGAATTCAATGCTCAATTAAAGGTGCTGGCGGAACTCTGGAAGCGCCTTGAGGACACCGAGCAGGTGCAGGGCTGCTGGGGATTTCAAGGAGAGTTGTTGGCCAGTCTATGAACGGGGACTCCTCTACAAGTCTATCCACTCGGCCTAAGATGGCCTAAGGGACCACCTCCGAAGACTCCGGAGCAGTTGGGACAGGACTTTGAGTTCCCTGAGTGGGTGAAGGTTGGGGCCATGGGACTTCGACTTGAGCTGGAGCAGTCACCAAGGTGAAGGCGATGACCCACATGAAGAGAAAGTGGAAGGGTGCGGGAAGGGAGGTGAGTGTGGATTCAACCATGAGTTGGGGTCCATGGAGAAGAAGAGCTGATGCTTAGAGTGCTGATCAACCAAACACTCAAAGAAGGACTGTCCTGCGGGTGAAGGATGGAAGTGAGAAGCAAGTGAAGAGCTTCAAGAAGGAGACTGGTGCAGCCCCTGTGAAACATATTGAAAAATGTTGAGAAACAGGACGCGCTGGACAACGGGACAACCTTGCTGAAGAGTTTGCGGGGACTTTACCCCACGCTCTTGCCCAACCGTGGACGAGGAGTTGGCACGGGACTTGATTGTCTGTGGAGATTGAGCGGCACGCCATCCACCCCAGACTTGCTTTCCTTATGCAAGAAATCGGAAGGCCAAAGGGGTGGGTGACTCAGTGGGGACTCTGCGAACTCGGTCATCTGTCAGGCCATGCTCAGGGGACGTTCAAGACTCCGGGGCCGCCTCCACTTCGCACCAGGGAGGGACCAGGCCGGACGATGGATGGGCATAGGTGACCAAAAGATGCTGGTGCTGGATCCGAGGGAAGGAAGGAGATCCACCCGTTGGCCTTTCACCTGGACAGTTCGCAACACTGTAAAGGTGTAGAAATGGCCTTGAGCGGGTGAAACACCCAGTTAAATTCACGGTAAGGACATTGTGAGCGAGAGTGTGAGTGGATGGATACACTAGATCGAGAAGTGTACCAAGTTTGTTTGTCGCAGGCCCTTTTTCAATCGTCAACTGACACCAAAGGTCGAGCAAAGGTTTTGGGGGGGCGTGCCCGCACTGCGCAAACATTCCCTGAGCATCTAGCTTCAACACCTCTTGCACTCCAGAATCTTTTGGTCCGCGATGGGTCAGTCAATGAGCGTGGATCATGTGATATCGTTTTTTAAACGACATCTACTGCAACACAGTGATATTTACTTGCGGCTTATCCTTGGAAAATCTCCGAGACTTTTTCTTGGTCTTCATGCTCTAACATCTTCTCTCAAGCTTCAGTATGTGACCATGCGTCAAGCATTGGGACAAAAATCCAAACTTCTGAGTGAGTCCAAGAACGTCAGAGTTTTGATTTGTTCAATTTTCACTTTCCCTTCCAATGTTGAACAAGTGAGTAAATATATAATCCCAAAACCTTGTGCTCGTACTTGGCGCAGATCTGGACACATGAGACAAAGTGTCCAGACGTGTTATCATGTCCACCCCATCTGCCAAGGCACATACCAAGCACTCCCCAAGCTCGCCTTGCGGCCAAGGCCATGGCCACGGCGAAGGCCAAGGTGCCTCAGCTGGTGAACCAAAATTACCAAGGTCTGTGCTGCATAGTGGAAGCCCAAAATCTAAAGATCGGAACCTCCAAACCATCCAAAACCTACCTAGTCAAATCGAGTCGCGAGTCAGAACCCATCAAAATAGTCTTTCTTCGGTTAAGAACTTCTTCTTTTTCGTCCAAAGCCCAAAAAGGCCACCCTCCCAGCAAGTCAACAAACAAACAAAAAAAAGTAGTGTATGATGAAATTGGTGTCCTGGTCATCCCTCCAACAGGTGGTTGCAGGTGGTTCACGTGCTCGTCGCACAAACTCCTCCTGGAGCCTTGGACTTTCGCCACGTGCAGCCAGGACTGCTCGCTGTTCCGCGAAGCACCGCATCACTGAACTCCACCAACTCCTCCCAAACATCCACTCCCGTTCAAGTCCTTTTTAAGAATTGACAACCCGTCCATGTCGGACAATATTACTTATCACCTGCCAGGATGTCCATAATTTGGGTGGGCCCCTATGCGTCTCAGGTTTTCTTATGCATCTACAACTCTTTGGGGTATCAGCTTTGGGTGGAGCATCACCCATGTTAGAGGGTATTGATTTTGGGTGGGCCCCTATCGGTTTTGCAGTCAACTCACTTTTTCAAAAAACAATGTCCAGCCGAAGGCTAGTGCTGACTTACAGTAATTCTGTCGGATACTCATGTGTGCCCTTCACAATGTTCTTGCTACCAGTGCAAAAAAACATTACCCAAAATGTCATGTCTGCCGCTAGGCTTTTTACATGGGTAGGCTGCGCTGGAGGCAGGCGTTCTTGTAAGTGGCTTGGTCAAACGCAGCAAAACTGCGCTCATGTCTCCTTCGAGGTGAGGCAGAGAAAGCAAGCTACTAGCGCTGGCCTCCAACCTAATAGCAATGGCCTCCAAACAAGAAGCGATGGCCTCCAACCTATATATTAGCAGCTAGCAACATTCAAGTCAATTGAACGATGCATTCCTAGTTGCACTGTGTGCACCTCAACAATTTCCCCAGCCTCTTGGCGTGGGGATTTTGAAACCACAATGCAAAGAGCCTGCACAGCAAACCGACTTCGGGGCGACCGAGCCTAACCCCTTCTGTGGTAGATCTTCAAACAGGACTTGACACAGCAACAATGGCATCTGAGTTCAGAAGCACATTGAAATCTTGTAAGCACCATGAGGACTTGGGCCTTTTCTGAGGATCCCGACCAGTGGCAGTCCAGTGGGAATAGCTGCTGCCACAGCAGCGAGTTGCACCTTGGATCATTTATGGGAACCAAGGTGCTGCAAAGGGTTGAATGTAGTGGGCTCATCCACTGTTTTGAACACATGCAATCCCAGACCCATTTTCTACGCATTGGATGAAAGTGAGAATGCTCTTGGCAACAAGCGAGCGAGTCTTCCGTGACCCTGCAACAGTACTCTTCAAGTTCAAAAGAACTTATATACAGTACCATATGGAGCAACATCGAAAGAGTGTGACAATATGGTTCCAGATAATTCCACTCGGTCCCCGAATCAATTTGAAGAAGAAAACACCCAGCCCGGAACATGAATCCGTTTGGATGGGCGCAAATCGCGCACCGCCTCCTGCCTGGCCAGAACGGCTGGCCACTTCGACAGTCAGCAGAACCAGCAAGGACACCACCAACCCTCCATAGGACTCCAGGAACAGCATAGACAAGACAAGCTACAATGCAATGCCGTGGTTTACTGAAACGCAGGTGTTTTTGCCCGCTTCAAATAAAATATACAGTATATATATATATATATATATATCAGTTACTAGTTTCTGTCTGCAAGGTACTCTGCAAGGGAATGACATGTGTTCATATGTGTTCCTTGCCGCTCATTCCATTTGCTGGCATGCTGTCCCACCCTGGACCTGCCAAAAACATTACAATTAATTATTGTATTCTGCATGTTCCTCAGCAAGTGCTGTCATCAACAAATCAGTTGCCACATCAAGCCAAAACTACATGCCATACAAACAATAACACCATCCAGCGAACACGGTGAATAACTTAATAACCCGGTCCTCATCGTGTGAAGAAAGCTGTCCTCCAACCAACTTACGCGTGATTCTTCCATTGCACACATTTTGCTCTCAGGGCTGGCAGGGACTTGTCAAGCTGGGCCTGGGAACTCCAGGTTAAAGCCACCGCGCTTCTCTCCCATCCGCAGAAGGAGAACCTGAAGTTTGGAACCTGACGCATCTGGTCAGGCCCCTCGGATCACTCCAAACCGCATCAGGCCACATTGGGAACCGGCTGAAACGTGTACAGTTTTGTACACGCTCCGGCTGAGGCGCAGCTGGTGAAGAGGAACCATGGGCGCTGACGCATCGGGTCACTCTTACCCCAGTTCCAAACAGTTCCAGACCTTGCAGCTCTTGCAAGGTAACTGGCTGCACATGTGTAAACACTCCGGCTGAGACGGAGACGCAAAGAGCTGGTCAAAGGTCCGAGGATGGGGTTTGCAACATTTGCCGACTCTTGACTCTAGACTCTAGCCCTGACAATCGGACCAAAGGAAAGGCATGCTTCTAAGTTGCCGAAAGCAATCAAAAGTGTTCTCTTCAGGGTTCCACTTCCTGTGGCGGCCATGTCCTGAACCTTCTCAAGCTCACAAGCAACCAATCGGCCCGAAAACCGAAATAGTGTTGGCGATCTGTTTTGACGAATGAGGTCAAGGTACGCTCTGCAATACTGTGGAAGCTAACATGCATAAAGGCGATAGGTCGTGCGGGTCAAATCTGTTGCCTGGAACATGTGATTTCATGGAATTCTCTTCGGGTCCGTGCGTGCAAGAACAAAAAGGTTTAATGTGTTAAATTTCTTGATATGATTTATATTAGAAACATACTCGTAGCAAGGACGCTATTAGGTGGAGGCCATCGCAAGTAGGTTGGAGGCCATCGCTACTAGGAGCAAGAAGCTACTAGTGTTTGCTGAATCATCTTCTCACGCCCATGGCCTGCTCCCCGTCAACGAATCCAGAACGTCATCTTTGTAGCTATGGTGGCCAAACTCATGGTCTACTGAATCCATCATAATCCATCATCTTCCAAAGCTTTGTAGCCATCAAAATGACAACCAACTATATAACCAACATTACAAAGAACAATCAGGCAAAAAAGATCGTTCGAATGCGACAGTACTGCGGTTCTCAGGCCGTGGGCATGGCCTCATGGCCTACAAATCTTCGTTCACAGGCTTACCACAACGGCATAACAAGTCCGGATGCTGCAAGCTGCGCGACATGCCATCTCCTCCTGGCATGCGGGCAGCATCTCTAGTGGGATGTGAGTTCGGCTACAAGACTGTGTATAAACCATAAACTATATTCATGGCTCATGGCACATCATGGCACCACAAAAATCCGGAAGTGTGAGTTTCAATTTGGGCAACTGCAGCAAACAACACTTGGCAGGCTACACTCAATGTTTCTTCAGACTGCTCTGTGGGCAGCTTGCTTGCAACCAAACACTCTTTCCAGAACACTGGTCCATCCAATAGCGTGAACACTTAATATAAACAACACAAGACACATCAGGACACGCAATTGCTACTCTTTGTTCGGACGAGTACGTATTGCAGAGCAGCGCTGTATCGGGGATGTTTCTGATGCAGGAAGTCGCACGATTCTTGTTGTCCTAAATTTCAAGCTTGGCTGTCAATAAATCCTTCAAGCGAACGTTTGACTTGACATATCCGTACGATAAACCAAAAATCTACCAGGTGATTTGCACTTGTCATCGAGTTTGGCGCCCCAAAAGAATTGCAGAGTGTGGATTAGTCCAACCAAGCTGCCCCGATCGTTGCCAAAGGGCTGTTGCAGTCGACCTCTGGCTCTCGCGGGCTTCCGGATGGCCAGCTAAAAAAAATGCAATCCTGTTACCTGATGTTACAAGTAGCTGGCTAGGTGTACTTAGGAGTAGTTGCCACAGACACTAGGTACCAGTAGTCACTCCAATTGTAGGACTGTACATGTTGTACCTACCCTTCAATAGCATTGGCATTCATCTTGCAAAGGAAGCTAATCTTTGAAGCTTCTTGCCATGCCTCCCTTCAACAAGAGAAAGTGTCGCCCAAGCCTCTTGAGACATCACCATCACTGTAGTGAATATCCTTGGAGTCTCGTATAAAGTAAATTATATATATATACATTTCTTCTAAGTGTTCATAAGGCGTCGTTGTAAGACCCAAGTACAGTACCCGGGAGCGCGTATGGAAGCCTACGCTCGGATTCTGGTAAACGGAATTGTCTCCTCCTGTGTTTACACAAAATCTCCCAGACCTTATTGAGTCCTTTGACTTGCCCATCCAACACCAAGCACATCTTCGCATTTTCGCATAAACAGGATGATCCACTCGTCGTGACAATATCCATTCTTGGAACGTGTGCACCGTGTTTTCGCCTCTTCATGACGTCTTAAACTCCCATTAGGTTCTCAATTTGTGTACATGTTGTCTTTGGTTTCTTTCTCATGACTTTTGTCCACCAGTCAAGGGGGCAAGGGGGATGTCTGTCTCCTGCTAGTACCAGTATCTCATTTTTTGCTCTCCAGTGCATCCTTTCGGAATCATTCTTGCTCGCCTGGTTCTCAAGCTGGGATGCGAAGTCGGTGCGAAAGGCAGCTGCATCAAATCCGTGAGACTTCTTGCTGGTATTTTCTCGAAGGAAGCTGTTGCTACCTGAAAGAGTCCAAGAAGGGAGAGATCAACCATGTACACGAGATTGGTTCTTTCTGAAAACCCTCACACCCCTCTGAACTTTGCAAGGGCATTGCAAGGGGGAGAAAAGGGATTTTTGATGACTAGGGAGTCAACATGGACATTTGATAGAGGTGTTTCAGTCATAGCCATGTTGCACCAGGCTTGTCAACGACGACAGCATACAACACCTCGCAATACTCAGACACAAAGAACTTTGACCATGTGGCACACGGGGGGTCTGAAGAGCTCAAAGAACTCAACAACTGCACTGAACTACCGCCAGCGTTAGGTCTACATTCATCTCCCATGACTCACCATGATGTTATTGCGGGGCATTTATATATGCTGTCACTGCTGTCACACATCTCCCATCCATCTCGTGCTGTCAAAGACCATTCAGGGTTAAACCCATGGGACCCACTTCTCTCAAGGACCTGCAAGCCGCTGGAGATGCTGCTCTTTTTGTCACACTTGCTGTTGCCAGATGTCATGATATGTACGGGCGGCGCATGCTGGCCTCCTGGACCGTTCGTTGTGCCAAATCCACATGCAGCAGTCCAAGATCTTTTCGTTGGACCGTTCGTGCCACATTTCGGCCACTCGTTTGCTCAAGCCATGGTGGTTGAGGTCACCATCGTAGTTGTATTGCCCTCCATCTCCATGGTGGTAGTGCTGCCCATTCCGGTTGGTCCATCATCCTCAGAGTCTCCACATCCCTGCAAGGATATGGATGCAATGAGTCCCAAGGCGATGGCCATGACAGCACGAAAGAACTTCATGGCTACTCAGAGCACAAAGAACTGCTTCGAGTCCTTCTTGTCCTGGCTGGTCCTACCTTTGTCCTATCTTTTCCTTTCAACGATGGCAACCTTGAGCCAAATGACAACGGTCAAGAAGAGACCTTTGACATTGCCGGGCCAAGCGGTCGCGTTGACAGCAGACCACTTGTTGTTGGTGATTGCGGATATGTGACATGAACCGGTTTATTAAACGTGTTGCATCAACCGTGAAAAATATTGATTTAAAAGAACAAGCAATGGTGCACTTAGACAACATGGATGTCCTAGACAACATGGATGTTTCGAGGTTAGGATAAATCACCAAAAACATGTGCAAAGAAGCCTGTTCTGGAGTGCATCATGTGTCCTTTTTATAGCCTGACAAACTACAATGGCTGAATAGACTGATGACTCGACAGTGATGCACCCGACGACGGAAAGCTTCCATTCGCAGCCGAGACGCGACGGAAATCAATAAAATCTTCGAAGCTCAGTGGATGTCGGAGCACCTCCTTGAGGAAGAAGGAAAAGCGCAACTCACTCCCTGACGGTGTGCAGTCCTTGGATGTGTCATTTCGAGAAGAATGGGTTTGTAGTCTCAGCAACGTCCAAAGAATCAATATCAAGCACCTCAAGCCGAGTGTGTAGAATAGTAATGAATAGTATATGTATGTCAGTACTCCATTCATCTCTAGACTCTAGTCGATGCTGAATCTACTGTAACCCCGATAATTACATAATCGATGCCATCAGCTAGTTGCAGTAGCTGCTTTCCAATGGTTCATTTTGTTATATCTCGTTTCTGTTGAACCCCTCTGGTCAAGTCCCACACCCAGGCATGGATGAATCCATTATCACTTGAGCAAGTACATGTTTGCAAGGCGTAACAACACGATGTCCAAACTTGGAAGGATTCATCCTGCCAAGTCTCTTTGAACTGCTCTGAAGGTGTTGTCAGCAAGCGCCACTTTGCAAATGGATCGACAGGCTGAGCCATTGAGGGACTTTCTCCCACCCGCGCCCTATCCGGTGACTGCAAACCTGCAATGAAAGCTAGATTCTGCTGCATGAACATGTTGAGTCATATATGATGGTCGGTGACTGTGGCTAGTGGCCTAATCAAAAATGCCTATCTATGCAAGCAATTCCAAGAGCTGCGCTGACTCGAACCTAAATCTTCCAGAACTTTATTGCTGGAACTCGTTTCGAAGTCAGGTCTTAACCTGGCTATGGCCTAGGGCCGAGGAAATCAAGAACCAACCGACTTGCTTTCCAACCATAAGGCGTTCCTCGCAATGCTGGGGAAAGATTGCTACATGCAACAGCGACAATACCTGGAAGGTTCGAACTGGCCATGGTTGCTTTCCGCGTATGGCCCCCAACCAACTGTCGTGCTGAAAGATTTATTGACTCATATGTTTCTCCATCGAATACACCTACTGGACATAGCCCCTATATATGCACTACCATCAACATCATGACAAATGATGACAAGAATGACCCATGCCATGTTCAGCGAATTTGCAGCGAACCAAGCCTGTTCCAGCGTGTCCAACTCTGAGGCCTAGGTTGGTGCGAGAAAATAATCACGCAATCGTGGCCGTTCCGACGATCACCTTCTTGATCCGAGGTCCTTTCCCCGAATTTGGGTGGTAGGCTTAGCCGGGGCCACAAGGCAAGTTCCCCAAGAGCACTCTTTCAAGCAGTGTGACAGTGTGACTTTGATGCGTTCTTTCCTTGTTTTCAGGATCAATCTCATTAGGGGATGCGACATGTTCCACAACTCCGGTTTGCTGTGCTTCTGTTATAGTACAAATTGTTCGAAGGATATTAACAGAACAGGATGTTGGGGTTCTATAGAATATGGCCCTGATTGTTCAGCCGTTGTGGATGCAAGGAAAATGGTCTCCTGTCCCAACGTGACACATCCAATCCCTGCCGAGTGGAAACTACCATGTGACAGGCCACCCGGGGGGGACGATGGAGTGACTGTGTCTGTCTTTGCACACACCTGCGGGAGGTGAATATGACTCAACTTGGCGCAACTTTCGAACACATATGGCGCTATTACCGCTCCATTGGCGAGCCGGCAAGGTTGTTCGGTGATAATTCCCACTTTTTCCAGAGCACAACATTCAGAGAAATGTCGAACACCGAAAAAGACACAGCCTGGCATTTCTGCAACCTCCAGAGCATAACACCCCTGAAAGGAAGCATGTTCTGTTGCTACGACCGTTTCTGGCAGTTTGACAATTCTGAGCGATTGACAGTGTCGCCACGCTTGCCGATCAATGGTATGGAACCCAGATTCCATTTGAACGTGTGTTGGTCGTGTGAGCGAGAAAAAGGCTTTAGCCGGGAGGACTCCCGTATCGTTGACAGGAACCCAAATTGCTTTGGAAAGAGCTTCCTACACGTCTCTCTGGAGCTGCTCTTTACCGCTGCACGATTGGAGACAGTCTCGCACTATTAGTTGAAATCGCGGATTGTCCCACAGATCAAACGAACATGTAGAACTGCTTGGGGGTGTTATACTGTTTTGACATTTTGAGAAAGACGTTGTGTGAATGTACAACAAAGTAATCCGACCAGGACCAACGGACCAACGACGTCGTGCCGGGTGCCGACGTCACGATCCCCCAATCCGAATCCAGCCGAGCGCTTAGACAAAAACAGCCCAAGAAAGCACGCCTTCTAGATGGGACCCCTGGCTATTGGGCTCTTCTAAAACTCTTTGACTTTATTCTCCCCACGCCGCATACCACCAGGCTTGTCTGGACGCCACTCTCCCACTGCTCGGTGGTCCAAACCAGGTCTCAGAGCTGGTGGAGCGTCGAAGCCCTTGGACCTGGTTGGTTTCTACCAAGCCGCCAAAATTCTGCCGTTGCTCGCCATGACGGCTGTCTGATTGGACCCAACCTCAAAACGGAATCACCAAGCATATCATCCAAAGAGCTGAACAAGCAAAACAAAAGGAAACACACTTTCGCTTCACAATCTGAAGGTGATAACCATTGTAAACTGAAATCCATCTGGTTGGTACTGCACCTTGAAGCCCTGTTTGAAACTTCTGGCCATTGGCCCATCTGGCAGGACCACAGTGACCACAGTGACCACGGTACAACGGGTGAGAGATCAAAAACAAAATATTTAACATATCAAATAAAAAAAATATTCACACGCATCAAAAAAATAACCACTGACTCAAACAAAATATTCCAAATAGCAGTAGCAGTAAGAGCAGCAGTAGCAGTAGCAGTAGCAGTAGCAGTAGGAGCAGGAGCAGGAGCAGGAGCAGTAGCAGTAGCAGTCGCAGTAGGAGCAGGAGCAGGAGCAGTAGCAGTAGCAGTAGCAGTAGCAGTAGTAGGAGTAGCAGTAGCAGTAGCAGTAGCAGTAGTAGTAGTAGCAGTAGTAGTAGTGGAGAAACCAGTTCATTTGAGCCCCACGCAGCTGGACTCATGCAACGAGTGCAACAGTGCATAAGCAAGCAATGGATGTGATAACGAAAAACAAAAAAACAAAACAAACAAAACAAATATTGAATCCACAAAAGACCAGAGGACCAAGGGACTAGCGGACCAGCCTCAGCGGACCAAGTGACTACTGGACCAGCGGACTGCAGGGGACCAGCAGACCAAAGGACCAGCGGACCAGGGGACCAGAGGACCGCAACGGCCACCTACACGACTGGGAATTCCAAGGGATTTCATCTCACAACGAATATTTTTATTGATTCAGTAAATATCTATTGTTTGATTCGGTAAATACTTTCTTATTGATTCGATATATAGTTTTTAATGTGTTTTCTTGATACCTACTAGTATGCCCGGTACAACTCGCTCCCGTCTCAGTCACCGTCTCACAAGCCCACCAATTCCATGTGCAAACTAGTGGCGTCCCTTGCTCCTAGTAGTAAGGCCAGGAGCCCCTAGTAGTTTATTGCTCCTAGTAGTAAGGCCAGGAGCCCCTAGTAGCTTCTTGCTCCTAGTAGTAAGGCCAGGAGCCCTAGTAGCTTCTTGCTCCTTCCTAGTAGTAAGGCCAGGAGCCCCTAGTCCTAGTAGTAATGCCAGGAGCCCCTAGTAGGGTTCTTGCTCCTAGTAGTACGGCCAGGAGCCCCTAGTAGCGTCCTTGCTCCTAGTAGTAAGGCCAGGAGCCCCTAGTAGCTTCTTGCTCCTAGTAGTAATGCCAGGAGCCCCTAGTGGCGTTCTTATTCCTAGTAGTAAGGCCAGGAGCCCCGAGTAGCTTCTTGCTCCTAGTAGTAATGCCATTAGAAAAAAGAACTAGGTTTTATAAGTTCTGACCTATACTATAAACCCTAAACCCTACAAACCTTTGGATTTCAAAGCCCTGGCTTTGGCGTTCTTGTTCCTAGTAGTAAGGCCAGGAGCCCCTAGTAGTTTCTTGCTCCTAGTAGTAAGGCCAGGAGCCCCTAGTAGCTTCTTGCTCCTAGTAGCAAGGCCAGGAGCCCCTAGTAGCTTCTTGCTCCTTCCTAGTAGTAAGGCCAGGAGCCCCTAGGCCCTAGTAGCGTCCTTGTTTGTCAAGTATTTCGTGTGAGAAACACTGTTGGGCGTTAAGCACTTGGAGTTTGTCAAACAGTATTGCAGTTTCTTCCGCTTCCGGCTCGCTGTCGAAAAACTGAGTGTGCTGGCAAAGAAGGTGGCTCCCGCCCCCAGCGGCATTGGGAATGGATTGAGCATCACGTAGTTCCTGACCTCATACAGACTGTCTAATCTCCCTGATATCTAATAATGCATTTTGACATCTTCGCATTCTAGGCTTGCCTTAAATAAGAAGAGGCAGGTCTGCAACAAGCAGAGTCAAAAAGAGACAAACAAGTGCAAGAGGAGCCATGTTCAACTAATTAACACTCTTTGTCTCTCTGTGTGTCTCTCTCTCTCTCTCTCTGCGCGCTTGGATGTGGACGAAGAAAACTTCCTCACCGCGGCCAATTAGTCATTAGTCGTGATCGTCGCAAAGGCACATTTACTTAATTGTTTAGTGTTTACATGAGGTATTCACAGCTGCTTCCCTCACCCGCCCATTATATATATATATATAGAAGTATATAAAGTGCACTCGCTTGCTTTAGACTGCTCGAAGTACTTCTGTTTCTTTGATTGTTTCCAGCCTCAATTGAAGCAGATTTTCGATTATTCATGTGATAGGCAGGGTGTAAGGTACACTCCAGATCCAAACAATTCAACAAGGCATCCCCAGGATATATAAGATACAAGTATAATACAAGAAGTAAGAGTTCCCCACATAAGCATGAAAAATTGCGCGAAAGCCTTTGTTGGCTGGCAGGTTGTGTTGTAGGTTTGCCGGTGGTTCCGAACACAACCTGGGTCTATTCACAAGCTCTGGAATCTTTGGAATCCATTTGGAGCGAAGCAGCACGGAGTGTACTGAAATCAGCACGGATTCATGGAATTCATGAAACAGTGGAGGTGGAACCCCTCCATTGGGATGTTGATCTGTTATCTCTTTGATGTCAAAAGGGCTGCTGATGTTCATCTTTAAACCAGTAAACCTGATGAATTCAGAGACCAAGGTCCCGCAGATGTTGTCTGATTGTTCTGGTTTGGGGGGCTCCCATAACACGTCTCGCCACTGGTTGATGTGAACCGGTGAACACACCGGCCCTTACCGCAGACTCCACGTCCGACGCCCGCAGCACTCGGATGGCCTCAACTGGGACCTGCGCTTCGCAGTGCGAGTAGCAATAGCAATGGCCTCCAACCTACTGGCATGGCCTCCAGGGTTGGGTCATACCCGGTGTCAAAGGAAGTTCGGCATATTGGACTCAGGAAGCCATCACGACCAAAATGGGGAAGGCGTTCTCCTAACCACAAGTCTGCCATCCAAGCAGAGACCGTAGGGTCAATGAATGGAAGATTGGATAGCTTCTAGCTACTGGTAACAAGTCCATTTCTACTAGTAGCAAATAGCTACTAGTAGCTTCTTGCTACTAGTAGCCATGCACTTTTGGATGGCCAAACACACCTGCCGCCCACTCCTGCAGTAATAGGTCACACAAGTGCAAGTGT